CTCACACACACACACACACACACACACACACACACACACACACACACACACTCCCTTTGGTTATAATTAACTCACAGGGCTTGATGCTAATGCTATTTTAAAGATATGTTACCATGGACTCTAATCCTGAAGTCCCTTCTTGTGTGAAAACACTTTTGTTTTTATTTCACATATTAAGTTGAATATCTTAAAAACAGGGTTTCATGACTTGAATATGTTTAAAAAGGTAGTTTACCAGCAGGACTACAACCAGCTAATTCTTTATTTCAATTTAAACACAACTTATTATAACAAATCCTAAATTAAGAAACTTTAAGCATGCTCCAAACATGTTTCTTCACATTAACATTAACACACAACATGCATCATAACATAAACAAAGTCTCACAGTGAGACTCAAATTACTGATTTTTTTTAAGCATAAACCAATTAATGCATGAAAAGAAAACAACTGGAGGAAGGTTTGTTTATATATATGAAACCGATTTGCAGGAGTAGCAAACAAATCATGGCACTCTCCATTAGGTAGCAACATGCGGCCGTTTATCTGCTGAAGATTTCTGTGAAGCGATGACAGATGGATACTCACAAGTTTTTGAAACAACCTTTAGTTCAGCTGCTGTCTTTAAGACTCATCAACACTCAGAGACAAAGCACTGCTGCCGGGCTTTGTGAGCGGGATGCAGGGAGCTGTCAGAAAACAAGTCATGTGACACCATGCTGCTATTTGCTATAAGTAAACAGACATATTATTGAAACTATAATTATATATAATGGCTATAATAACAGCGTTTAGATACTACAGTCTGCATTATGGCTTCCCATTGAAGACCCCTCTTTGCAGCAGAGTTTAAACTTCACTTAAGTTGCTGCTGACAGTCTTCAGTATCAGCCGTCACTGCAGGACTCTTTGTGATGTGGGTTTGTGTTCAGCTGCGGTCTCCAGAAGCACTCTCGTCTGATTTCACTTTTCATTCCTACAGTTTTTGCCCGAGTTTACATGTAATTCGTCGGTTAAAGCTTTGCTGTTTTTCACAACTTGATCTAATGGTGGAGGGACTTGACCTTTTTGTGAGTGCTTACATTTTATTTGCCCTTTCGCTGGAGTACAGTTTTATGACATGTCATTAGGAGGGAAAAAAGATTGCTTTTGGCAAACAAAATCATATTTCAGGGCAATTCAGAACATGAACAAAACAAGGCTTTCTGACGGCGTTTTTAATGAAAGAAAGTCTTTATTAATGCATAATTATTCAAATACAAGTGTTTGCATGTGCAGGTTGACTTTCCACTGTGACCTGACCTCACCCAGGACATCAAATACTCTCTTGCCATTTGTTGTCATTCATTTCAGAAATCCTCAAACCCCCACGCTGTGCTGGCAACAATGACACAAACAGATATCCATCCACACACAGACATGAAAACATAGTTCCTTTTTCATTCCGCAAACATTTAAAATCCTGGCATTTGAACAATAAATATTCTGATAGATTTTCTTCCAGCAGTGTGAGGTTTTTGGCCAAAGTTGTGGTTTTAATGTTCCACTGCAGGTGGAAACGCCAATTAGTGATTAATTGAAGAAGGTTGGGAAATAATAAACGGCCAACACCTGGACCAGGCAAATTTGGGCCAATCATTATCAATCAAAGCAGGAGTGAGCCATTGGAATTAATGGAGAACAAGCCTTATAGTGTCGAGAACGTGTGGCATTTTATTTACGTATTAATATAAGGAAAACAAATTACAGTTGAATCTGTCGGTCACACGGTCATGGCGTTAAAATGTGAACAAAAATAACCTTTCTGCCTGGGGAGGGTGTTTTTAAGTTTGACATTTGACAGGATAGCCCTGCTTATTGTATGTTGGCATGTTAATACCCGGCATGTTTACAAGAAACAGGAGTCTCACCTCGCTGCTCTTTAAACTTACAGCGCTGAGGCATGAAATAATAACCCTGGTATGTATTTAATATCGTCCCGGACGTGTTTACGCTCCTCACATCCCTGTCAGAGCAGCTCAGAGGTCAGCTCGGCTTCTGGAAGTGATGTGACACTGTGTTACCGCACTCATTTCCATCCATTCTCACCTAAACCACGTCGTGTCACTGCGTTAACCGGCATGTCAGGGAGGGGAAGACGTGAAATCGAACTGCGAGAAACTCAAAGGGAAGGAAATCTGGGAAGGATGTCGTATAAGTAAAACATGACATTTAAACAATTTAAGTTGTTGCTGTAATGAGTCATATTCCTTCCTCTGGCTGCTAATATTGTTTGCCTGCTAAGTGCACAGTCATACCACACACACACACACACACACACACACACACACACACACACACACACACACACACACACACACACACACACACACACACACACACACACACACACACACATTCAGCTTCCAGATCTTTCTTGGCTCACATCACCAGTCAAGTTGCATTCCCCCCCCCCCCCCACCCCCACACGTCCTGCTGCTGCAGCTGGTGAAAAATATAACACGCCAGACTCACTGTTATGATGATACCTTACAGTCCTTGTTCAGTTTGCCAAATTTCACTTTTAATCACTCTCTTTCTGAGATGCCAGTGTAATTATAAGAGAGAGAGGAGGTGGGATGTTGATTTGCTTCTCTTGTTGATACCTAAAAGATGTCAGACTGGTGAGTGTCTCTGCTGGTCAGTGGAGATGAGAAGACATTTCTATCCTTTGATAAACTCTACTGTACAAACAGGATGTTCCTATGACAATCCCACTGAACAATAATGACCCAAAACAATTAGAAATAAGCACAAAACAAACGTTCAAAGTAAATTCTGCATGCACGAGCCGGAGGAAATATGCCTCCACGTTGTTTCACTGCACACATGTTTTTATCCAAAGTTATTTACCCTTGAGGATAGATATTCATTTTTGTTCAAATATATCTACGCTCAAAACAGAAGGCGAGCAAAACGACCTGTATTTATGCCTCTTGTCTCCAGCAAATATTTGGGCTGCAGCCGAGCAGGAAAACACTCGTGAATTGTATAACCTAAAGACAGCGTGTTTGTGCCGAGGACAGAGAGTTCATAAGAATCACTTTTTAATGTTTTTGACTGCCAGATGTGACAGAGATCACTCTGACCGCTGGATCCAGTTTTTTTATACAGATTTAGAGTAAACCGTTAGCCACACCCAACCCAGAACCACCCAGAATCCAGTTAGAAACAAAGACAATCTAAATAAGAATGGGTTTGCTTTGGAAAAACCATGTTCCTTTGACCAAATAAAAAAAAAAGAACTCCTAAAGAGTCCAAATTGCAAGCAAATAATTTGTGTCTGCTACCAATTAAAACCACCATGTGTCACTTAAACAGAAGAACAGTAAATGAGTTGATTGGGAATCATTGTTAAACTTGATGGGATACAAAACATGCAACAGGAAGAAAAACCCCAACATCCTGTTTGTAGGGCGCCCTCCCTCAGGGCCACCTCATGATGACACACACACACACACACACACACACACACACACACACACACACACACACACACACACACACACACACACACACACACACACACACACACACACACGCACATCGGAGCGGACCAGTGGAAATCTGTCAGCCATTATCTTTGTCTGGTCATCCTTATTTTGAAATAATAAGTCATTATCAGAGTCATCAGATAAACAGATGTCGACAAGCTGCTCTGTAAGAGAGGAGACCTCCATCTCCATCGAGCGGCGCATTAACACACACCATATGTGGCGCTTTCTTAACACATAAAAGGAAAACGCGGACTAATTTGATCATGGTTTATGAAATTATTGAAAAAAATAAAAACTCTGATTTTTACATTTGAAAGAAATAGACTGGTAAACAAAACGTTTGGCAAACATTTTGGAAACTGGTGTTACTGCATGTCATTGACAACTTTTCTAGTGTTTGTGCAGCATAACACTTACTTATAACACAACATTATTATTTAAAAATATGCACAAGTAATAGGTTCCTTTCAAGGAGGAGTAGAAAAATGAATCTACTCTATTGCATACAGCCAGCATTTCATAATTAATAAACAGACAACAAGTCATCTCTTTGGCCCTTATCGATATTATTCAACTGACTCAAGTACCATATGAATTTCTAATTAAAAGAAAATTAGGTTTAAAATGTAAAAAGAAATAGGTACTGGCTCTTTAAAAGAGAGATTTTGGAACCAGAAGCTTGTTGGTTGCTGGTTCTACTTCCTTGATTTAGGCCCAGCTCTACCCTTCCTCCCGCAGAATAAATAAGCACAACGTTTGGCAAACATTTTGGAAACTGTTGTCGCTGAATGTCATTGACAGCTCTCATAAATTAACATCTTCATATGAAACATGATGCTGTTTTCTAGTGTTTGTAAACACAAGAATGATCTGAATTTCAAATTGAGAGAAATATAAAAATAGCCACTGGCCCTTTAAGGCACTTCAAAGGGGTTACAAAACGGTTGCTGGTTCCACATCCTGGATTCAGAGGCTGCTCAACCCTACCGAGGTGCCCTTGAGCAACACAATAGCAGCTCCCATGTCACACAGCTAATTGGAGAAGATCTCAATTTCAAATAAAGAGAAATAGAAAATATCAAATTGTGTGATATGTGGATTATAAATACTGGCCCTTTAAGGGGTTAAAAACGAGATTTTGAACCGGAATCTTCGCGTTGCTCCTGGATTAAGGGGTCTCTCCACCCTACCGAGGTGCCCTTGAGCAACACCTTTAAAGCAGCTCTCCTGTCTAATTGGAGAGGCCTCTTTTAGCCACACGTCACAGGACGGACAGCCTCGTGTCAGCGCCTCCACAAATCTCCTGCACGCGCTCCTCCACCTAATAGCGTGTCAGAGGGACCGAGGCACCGGGGTCACCGGGAACCGATGCCTCACTATAACGAGCCTCTCTCTGCGAACCGGGCTGCGACTGCGGTGGCAAAACGGAGATTAATGTCCCAATCAGGGGGGGGAGGTTAAGTAAAAGAAGAGCCGGGGACACGAGCTGCAGGCTGGGTTATCATATGGATAAAACTGGGAAATATAGGCCTACATTAAATTAGTGTGCATTTTTACTACTGATGTCCGATTTTTAAACTATAATAATTAAATAATAACAAATAGTTTATATAGTGGCATGCAATCAAATGTTAGGATAGTAAGTGTGTAAGATTGAATTTAAATACGAGTTTAAAGATGATGGGATATTTACACATATTTAAATACTCACATAGTGGATCGTAATGGCAATAACATTTTAGGATAGTAAGAGTATACGGTTTAATTTAAATAAAGATTATGGTGACATATTAACACACATTTAAATAAAACAATGATTTATGACATTATGCTGCTGCCTTTGTTTGCTAAAATAAAATCCAGTTTCCCAACTTCAAAGGAACAGAATAACTCTCTTTCTGCAGATTATAAATCATGTTTCTGCAGAATAAAAAAATCGATGTCTGATCTTAGTATGCAAACTTGGCCGTCCTCAGTGGATGGATTGCTCCATTACCCAGAGTCTGGCTATTAAATCGCTTTATGGCTGCAAATACGACAGGGTTTCTTGAAGGCGTTTTGAAACGTCTGCATGCCAATAAAGTAAAGTGGCCTTGACTTGGATTTGACCTCTTTTTTTTTTGCATTGGGTCTCTTAAACTCTGCAGATGGAGGGGCTGCAGGATTGTTGCAGGACTTCCAATATGGTGCGTTTTTAAACAGTTAAAAATAGATATCATATGTCCTCTTTCTCTCTCTGCCGGAAACCTAATAGTTAAATCCAAGTGCAAATGTTTAACTTATTGATTTAGTTCTCAGTGAGTGACGGCAGCTGGGCATGCCGATCAGAGTCTGGCACAGGCATGGGCACCTCATCCATCAAGGAGCCCGGTTTCATGCCTTCTTCTAATGTTGGACTCAGGAATATCTCACAATGTTATTTTTTTTTAAGCAAATATGGAAGGTTAAAAAACAGGAACAGCCATTCTTAACTAGAAATTAAGCTCACCAAAAAATGCAAATAAAGATCCATAGTTTCAACCACTATTGCATGTAATTTATAAACTATGTTGTTCACTGTTATATATTATATATTGTTTTAACAGTCTAAATGATCTAGAACATTGTACATTGAGTATTCTTTGTGTTCCATGTCCTTTATACTATACACGTGCTCAGAAAACACAGATCATTCTGACTTTAAACGCGTAAAAACACCAAGAAGCCTCCAAGCTGATATCTGATGCAGATACTGATAGTGAAATTAATGAGTATCTAAAAATGAAGCTCACCAAAAAAAAAAGAAAGAAGCAAAATGAGATCCATAGCTGCAGCCACTAATCCATTAAAACGAGGATTATACATTTAAACTTTTGCCAACGCATGCATGGATTTACTGTCTGATAATTCTGACTTTAAACGCGTAAAAACACCAATAACCTCCATGCTGGTATCTGAGGCAGATATATGCTCACTCTGTCTACCTTGGTAACACAAACGTCAGGCTCGGTTTACTGGCCACAAGTGCTGCTGATAAATATTCATGAGGCCGGCGCCTGCGCTTTCCCCCCATATCTGAGTGTTTGTCATTTCCAGACTTGCGCGTAAATACATTTAAAGTGGATGTTTCTCGTGTGTGATCTGCTCTCTGTGGCTGTGATGGCACACGCGCTGCAGCAGCCTGTCGTCGACTGCTTTTTACGAGCATTTTATTTTCGATACCGTGTGTTGGTTCAGTGTAAAGCAATACGACAGGAAGTGGAAATTCAACAGCAGTGAAGGTGCATGCTTTGCATTCTGCCGTACTGAAACGTCAAAGGAGCTTAAAGTTGTGGTTTTTCTCTGCAGGGAAATAAAAGCTAAAGCACCAATATAAATAAAACTAAAACACATCCCAGGGTTTTTTTAAGTGTGGACTCTTAAACTGAATTTTTACATTTAAATTGTTCCTCAAGTTCAAATGTTGAATAAACTGATTTTAGGTACATTTGTGAATTTAAATATGGCGTATGGACCATCCAAACCACATGAGATTTTACACATCCACTCTAAACTATTTATATTTCCAGTTACATGCGCACATTTGTCTTTAAAGTGACTTTTCTAAAACGGATTCTCTGGGCGTGGAGTCTTTGTATTCCTGCAGCATGCTCTGCAGACAGATAGTGTTAAATAGAGTCGAAAAAGTCATTTTATTACCATCCTTCATTTATCTCAAAATCTAATAGTCCGTGAAAAGAAAATATGAATACATTTCAATACATTTCAGCAAATCATCTAAGATGGTGGATGTTTTCTTCTAACGGGAACACACACACACACA